TCAAACAATAGACCCACCAACTTCATGGACTACAAATCTCACTGATAACTGACCAGACAAGATAGATACTCCTAATGGTACAATAGTGGCACTTTCATACAGGGAGTAACCAGCAGCTGTCCAAATAGACACAAGGCTTTCACTCAAGAGAAAGAATCCATGTCTGGTATTGTAAACCTTACAACTACTCTTGGTCTTCAACCCTAGAGGAGAACCTACTACTGTCATTTTCTCAAACAAATATAATTTCTAAATGTATTCTATGTGCCCTTATACCCATAGATAAGTGTAGCTCTCACCACTCATCAAAGAAGGGTTTTTAAATATATTTATTTAATTTTTTTTCTTATTTTACATATCGATCCCATTTACCTCTCTCTCCCATCCTTCTATATCTCCCACAGACAACCCCAACCCATCCCCCATCCTCTCCCCAGGGAGGGTGAGGCCTTCAATGAGGGATCATCAAAGTCTGTCAAATCATTTGGGATAGGGCCTAGGCCCACTCCCATGTCTCTAGGCTAAGGAAGCCAATAGGGAATGGGTTCCTGAAGTCTGTTCTTACACTAGGGTACATCCTGGTTCCATTGTCAGAGGTACCACATACTTCCCAGGCCTCCTAACTGAGACCCACATTCAGGGGGTCTGGGTCGGTCTCATGCTGATTTCCCAGCTGTCAGTCTGGGGTCCATGAGTTCCCCCTTTGTTCAGGTCAGCAGTTTCTGTGGGTTTCAACTGCCTGGTCTTGACCTCTTTGCTCATCACTTCTCCCTCTCTACAACTGGATTCAAGGAGTTTGGCTCAGTATTTAGCTGTGGGTGTCTGCTTCTGCTTCCATCAGCTACTGGATGAGGGCTCTAGAATGGCATATAAGGTTCTTTTGCAGTGATGGAAGCTATTACAGAGACCTACAACTTGTCAAATGCAGAATATACATTACCAAGGGGTTCTCAACCAGGATTGCTATATCAGCAATGCAACCCCTAATCTTAAGGCCCAGGGAACATTATGAAGAGAGAGAGGAAAGATTGCAAGAACCAAAGGATGAGGATGCCTGCTATTAAACAGTGTCTTCTTCATATAGTAGGGAAGTCATTCCTATGAAATTTCAGCAGTATGGTTGTCTAAATACCATTCAGTATGACAATATAGATAGGGGAAAATATCAGAAACTTACACCTCTAGATGAAGAACTACAGCCAATCAAAGGCTATTGAGAGAGGGACAGTCGGTTTTCTTGACTGTCAGTCCTCCAATAGGTACAAACCCAAGTATTCAGTCCTAAACCCATCTATGAAAAAGCATACATAAGATACTTAATAAGATGCCATTAAGTTGACAGGTAGTTGGGGGGGCATAGAAAGAGCTGTAGTGGGGCCAGGAGACATGAAAACAATCTTCGGTAACTTCAATAAAAAGAAAACCTCCAAGGCTTCCTGTCTTCCTCAAAGTAAAATTCAGAGGCCTCAGAGCAGAATCTGGCTTCAGATCCCTCTTCCTCTGATGTCAGCATCCTCTTTCTCCCTACACACCCCAACACCTGCTCTGGACCTGTTCCTTCTTCCTATCAAGTACCCTTTGGTCTCAGGGATTTTCCTCATTATACACTCCTGCATGATAACTTCTCAAAGAAACAAACTCAGTGATCCAACACAAATCTGAGACACTATCCCTTTCTGTACTGAATTTACTAGGTTGCATTCTTCCTCATACTATTTTTGATCCTCTAAGAAGATACTTGACTTTCATTTTGGGAAATGGATAGTTTCTCTTTCAACACAGAATGTCAACTTTCTTTGAGGAGGTAATTTTGCATTTTTTAACTTATTGTCATAATTATGAGTTAGGGAAGCATTTTAAATGGACAGTACATGCTTTTTGCATGGGTCATCCAAATTAAATTTTTAGCTCATGTTTCCTAACACTCATCTCTAAAATTGTATTTGGTTATACAAAAATAGGGGATGTCATATCCAGTCTGCTGCACCAAGTTTTTGACATAACAAAATTGGAAATGTTTTTATGCCTTAAAGGAATGAGAGTTTAATAAATAGGACACTGACTATGAAGTCTCATGAAGCAGTAAAAGCTCCCGACTGATCCTGTAAACAAGCTGAGTCCAAATAGCTTTAAGCCAGACCATTGGAAGCACTCATTTGGAAGAAATTTGAAACCATTTTCAGTGAGTACTAGATTATATGAGCTTTTGATATAATAGTCTCTCCAATTCTATATGAAATACCATGGCAGCTCACTAGGAGGGAAAAAATCAAACTATTTTAAAAATGATAACCAATTATATTTGGCACTAAAACACAATCTTGGGGGAATGTTGTACTCCAAGATTTCCCAAAGGGGAAAGTATCTCAAGCAATACAGAAGTTGATCAGAGAATGTTCTCAGCAATACTCAGGAAGCTGCCCATCCTGTCCAGAGTCATGAACATAAAATAGACTATTTTTAAGCTATATCTGAAATTAGCATGCCAATTATACCATATTAATGTAATACAATTATGAGAATGGCAAAGGAGCTTCAAACATGTTTTCTGTCTGAATCAGCTCAGTACTCTCTAGCCATTCCATTTTATTTTAATATCAAAGGAGAGTAGGTACAGCCCAGACTTTGAACTGATGTTCTTCAAGTATTTCTGTTTCAGTTTGTAACTACCTGTGTTTGAAAATCTCTATCTGTCTGGAGCAAAAAACTTAAATAAATCTGATATTTTTTTTTACTTCAAAAACAGTACTTTGCTTGGATTGACACCACCCTAGAAGGAGTGAGGCAAGAAACAACTTGTGAAAGTGAATGAATTCTTTGCTATCTCTGAGCTTTTGTCTAGTTTGTCTTTGTCTTCTGTAAAGTAATTTCACCAACTTAAACAAAACAGTTAGACACAAAACCCAAATTGGAATATAGTTCATCTTCCATGGTATCAATTTGAATGAATTTCTATACTCAAAATATAATACCCAAGAAAGGTAGTTTGTAATAAAAAGTGAGTTAGCTTTCTAACTGCAGACGATAGAAATGCAATAGTAAGAAGGAAGTAAAAACTAGGATGAAAAGAAAGAGCATGTCTCAAGAACATCTTGTTGATGAAGTCATGAATTTGTGTGTTAAAATATTTTGTAAACAAAGGAGTAGTTACCATTTTGACTGACAGGTAAATAGTCCTGGTTGTCATTTTCATTGTCACCAATTTCAATAAGCACATCTACAGCTATAATGTCCTTAACTACTAATCAAGAAAGTTAAACAAATAAAGCAGGAAGAAAACCAATGTGAGTGGGACCATCTCTAGAAAGAGGGTCTTAGATTGTATAAAAATCAAACTGAGCAGTTTGGTGGGACGTGCCTTTAATCTAGCACTCAAGAGGCAGAGGCAGGCAGATCTCTGTGAGTTCCAGGCCAGCCTGATCTACAGAGTGAGTTCCGGGACATTCAGAATCCTGTCTTAAAAAAAAAAAAAAAAAAAAAACTGAGCATGAGCAACAATTAGGACCAAGACAGTAAGCAGTATTCCTCCTTGGTCTCTGCCCCAGTCCCTACCTTATTTCCTTTATGATAAACCATAAGCTATAATGTGAAATAAACATTTTCCTTGCCACATTGGTTATGGTGTTTTATCACAGCAATTGAAAAGCAAACCAGAACATCAAGAAAGCATTGGAGAGCAAATCTCAGAAACAGAACATGGAGGGGGAATCTGCACTGTGAAGGTTGAAGCAGGAGTCACAAGTTCAAGGGCACATGGTCTGTGTAGGGAGACTCTGACTTAAATTTAAAAGATAACAAGTCAAAAAAAATCAGTAAATGATTAGATTGACAATTTTTAGTACATGATACACAAATTTCACAACCATGCATTTATATTCAAATGTTAACAAGTTTCTTAAGGTGAATAATTATCTATTAATTCTTCTTAAAACTATCACATGGACTCCTAGAAAACCTAGTACAGTAGTAGGCATACAGTGTCTAATGCCTACTCTTTTAGTTGAAATATATTCCAATATCAATAACAATATCTTATGAGTTGTTCTATTTCATTAACCTCACATTCATTATCTGGTAGTAACAGAATTTGACTCACTTTCTGTAATACTCAAAAACCTAGAAATTGTATTATTAAGATATATGGAATTTAAAAGTCCCATGTACTACTAATGCTAGCACTTTCAGTTTTATTTTACTTGCTTAACAACTATCAAACTCTGTTGGTAATAAGATCCATTCCTGAGTCCTTTGAGGATAGATGGGAAGCTGCCATGGCCCTGAGTAGAACTGCAGGTTCCATCAGGACTGAATTATGGAGTTCCTCCTCAAACATTCTTTCCCTTGTGTCAATAAATGTCACTTCACACATGTACTCAACAGACTGCTTTAGAACATTTAAAAGCCAGCATTACTTTTATTTTTGTTTCTTCGTGCTCAGTTTGTTCACTCTTCCTATGTTGAACAATGCTAAATAATAAGTACTTGCAGTACATTAAATATTTTTGCATATAAAGAAAATTTCTATTCCCTTTGGCCTTAAATGGAGAGAATAAAATCCAATTTTATTTCGCTTGCAACATGTGGAGCAATGACAAGAAAATCAGCCTTGCAGGAGGGAAAGAAATGTGAAAATTATGAATAAAGAGAGGCAAAGGAAATAGAACAATTTCAAACTGGTGTTGGTTATATCATGGTCCTAGATCTATGCTATATACAATATATTAATCACATCTACTAACTATCCTGTCAGTACAAAGTATTTTAATGGATAATGAGATCCTTCTCATTAAGTTACCAGAAATGTAGCATATTTGAAAATGCTATCTGTTTTGAATTGGAACCAAAGCTTCTACCACTGCCCAGAAAAAAAAAATATATCTAACTGTGTGTGGGGGGGGTCATAGTCATAGGATGAACATAACAATTATTGATTTTTTTTCCTTGAAAAGAAAATTCTTCCTTATTTCAAAATAAACATGCAACATGCAAAAAGAAAATACCTTGAGCTTCTTATTTTCGGGGTCTGTTGACATGGACAGTGCACAAGGTGAGATCAGCTCCTTGGTTCTTGTTAGAGAGACAGGAAGTGATGGGCTTGGAACGAGTGAGCTGTGGTTGGGTATTGTGCTTTCAGACGGTCCAGTTCTTGAAGGACATGTACCACGGTCACAGCTAGGGTACAGTGCTGAAGGACTAGGTTGGAGTACCTGGGTGAGTGAACTCTCAGGAGGAAGTCTGGAGAGCCCCAAATTGGGATGAGAAGCAGAGCCTGCGTGGGGGGTGGGAGGAGCAGGAAGAACAGAAGGGTGCAGCCTGGGGCCTGAGTGTTGTTGGGAGCAGGCTGTTTTGGATCTATCTATCAGATCTGAGAGGGCTGGGGACGGGTGGAAACACTTCTCTAGAGAGGAAAGGGCAGGGCTCTCATTGACAGGAGACACAGAGGATAATAAGGTAGAAGGTTGTGTGCAAATATTCCTGTCCTTTTCTGGGCCCCTGAGGTCACCATCCTGTCTGCCCTCTGAAGAAGGAAGAGGGGATGAGCTCGGTGTGACAGGAGGGGCATCAGCAAAACCGAATGTGTCCGTCTGTAATTGGGGTAGTGTCGTGCTGCTCCTCAGTGTGCCTCGTGGTATTTTCTCTACATCCATAGAAGCATAGCTGCTACTGTCAGGTGCTGGTGGAGAGATGAGGTACACCTGAGAAAGTGGGGGAGACTTGGGAAAGGAAGGGAGGTGGCAGGGTTGGCGTGTCTCTGCAGAAGCCTGGTGTTCTCCTTGCTCAGAAGACCCAGCTGTCAAGGAACAACTTGAGAGAGATTTCTTAGGTGTGGGAGAAGATTGCTTCACTCTTTGATCAAGTGTGAGAGTGGAAGAGGCCAGGGAATTGAGTGAGAAGGTTGGGCAGGATGCAGGGGATAAAGGCCTTTGGTGAGAAGGGTTTGATTTGAGGATAGCAGTGAGGAGAGAGAGCCGAGAGGGTACTGGGGACTTCACGCCTGCCTTTGAAAGATTTCCACTGGATGACATGCGGCTACAGACAGTAGACAAAGAGCCATGGGAAGAGGAGGTAAGTGGTTTTGGACTTGGAGAGAGTGAATGCATGACAATGCGGACCGGTATGTAGGAAGGTGAAGGTGACTTCAGAGAAGCACCAGAGGCAGGTGAAGGAGAGGTTCTCAGATCTTCCCTGGGATTAAGGACAGGCGCAGTTGACATACTCGTCTGTGCTTCGGATGCCAGTCCACGTGTGTGACCAGCAATATTTGAACCACGTAAACTAGAACCTGACAGCTGAGTGGAAGGGGAAAATACTAATGACGAAGCACCCCTCCATGCAGAAAGAGGGAACTCGTGAGCAGTAGAGTGGAAATACGTAGCTGTTTCTTCCACCGAGTTCCCTGTGACATCCAGCCTGTGAGTGTGAAATTCCTGTAGCACAGAGGCTCCGCTGACGTTAGCTGGAACGGGTGCCGTTTTCTGATTAGTTGGAGAAACAAAGGAGAAAGCAGGTGGTTTATGAGCAAGCTGCTCTGAGGTAGTGGGAGAAGTTAGCTAGAGGAAAGAAAAATAGATTGAAATAGGACATTACTTATGAAATTGTCAAAATACTCTTCCACTGTGTGTTTGTGCCAACAGCCCTACTTCTAGTTCAGATAAAATGAATGACATTTTAAGCCTCCATTAATAACGAAGGAGTGTATGCTTACTAATGAGACATGGCTTTGAATTTCAAATAAGATATAAATCGTGAAGTTGTACACCCTATAACCTATTTATTCCCTGAAACAAAAACAAATATGAAATTTGTTTTCATTATTCTATTGTAAAAACAGTTAAATATTTAAAATAGTCGTCCTAATTTGGAATTGTATAATATAAAAGGATTGAAGTTGTCTTAATTACAAATATCAAACTTCATTTTGGAAAATGGAATAGATTTTTCTACCATTGAAAGAAAATAAAGCACAGCTTAATAATGACTAGAACCCTAAATGTTAATATATTTCCATTGCTTAAAATTTGAAAGACTTGGACTACATATTGTGAATCTGTCCAAAATTCAAAGAATGAAGCTCAACACAATAATAAATTATTATTTATTAGAGCAAACACCAAGCCTAAAATAGAGACAGCACTTTAGCTTATGTCCCCCCAATCACTTGCCAGAATGAACATATAACAATAATTTAGCAAACACTTAGCCAATGATTTGAGTTCTTCTGGAACCAATGGGCTCTCTTTCTTATGAAAAAAAGCTAGAGCAACTGCAAACCATCTGCCAAAAACAGGAGAAAATTTTTAAAACATAATTTTACTTTAAAAGGTAGAGCTAGTCTGTGGGATAGCATATATATATATATTCTTGCACCACTTAAGTAGTCCAGAATTTAAGACAAATGCTGAAATCACGCCAAAGTTTCTAAACAGAGACTTTAAGATTATTAATTTGGTTTTATCAGACTATAAAATAAAAGTACGCAAGGCCAGTGAACTTGAGAAATATGAGTCATCTAAAATATTAATGGATATTAATATATATAATGCACTAAGTAAATAGCAGAAAAATGTCTGTATATTTAAATCAGCACATTTCTGTTTGTAGATAAAAGACATATTTTAGGCTTTTGCTTTAGATCCATGTGAACAAAATTTCTAATAGACCATTGTGATGAACTTCCTGACATTTAGTCTCAAGCCCTAAAAACTTATATCTAACAAATTCAAAGATTTCATTCCAAACCTCTTAGCCTCTGTGCAAACACACCTCAAATATTCCTTTTATAAATATGAAGATCAGCAAGCAATTTTGCCACATAAATAACATTTGAAATCATTGACAGAGTCCAAAACATCAAAACATCATTGAAAATGGAAAATCAAACAGAACTCAATCAAACTGAGAAAGCTTAATCATTCCCATGCAGTTTATCTTGGAACACTGCTTAGCTGGTGTTTATGCTACTGATTCATATGGCTGGGGAGGATATTTAAATGCAAACATCACCAACTGGCCAAAACAATGCCTCTCTTACTAAAAGACAACAACATTTTATTTGGAGTTTTACAATAATTTGTAGCTGGAGTTACATTTAGTGTTAAAAAATCATTCTCTCAAGAGTTCCTATTTATTCTTTCAGTGTGTGTGTGTGTGTGTGTGTGTGTGTGTGTGTGTGTGAGTGTGAGTGCAATTGTAAGTGTTTTAACCGTAAGTGAAAGAAGAAGAATGGAGACATTTCAAGTCTCCAGGATGTCACTGTACCCTATTTATAAAAGATGTTAGAATTTGCTAGCAACTTCCTTGTAAATTGCTGCTGACTGCCACGGGAATCCAACTATCTTTCCACCCACCCTCCCCCATGAAAACCATTTTATTTCAACTTTCCTCAAGGGAAAACACACAATCTTGAAAAACACCCATATTTCTGGAAAAATACATGCTGGATTCTGATGAAAACTCCTCCCCAGAAAATAAGAAAGGCAACTCCACAAGGGGACATGCACGGAGCTGAAGAACATAGCTACTGGAACTGAGATCAGCGGACAGCAGGGCATGCCTGATGCTCACTGTTGTTCTCTGTGAATTAGGTATCTCTCAACAACGTTTTACAAGCAATGGATATTTACATCTGTCTCTGGCCTGCATTCTACCCCACCCACATTTTTTTGTTCTTCCTTCTCTTTGCTATATTTCTATCAATGCTGTTTTCTAAGAGCTTCAACATAGGCAATAAACTATCAATTTATCTCTATTATTTACCAAATTGCCAACATGTTAAAAACATAGGCTAATAATTTTTTACATTAGTAAAAGTCTTCCCTGGAACTTTCTCTGAGTACAAGCCTCTATGTCCCTAACATCCTACTGCACTATGGGATATTTTTCCTAATAAAAATTCAGAATTTTGTCACACATTTTAAGAGTTAATTGGTGAGAAAATTCTAAAACACTGATGTTTAATAATATTTACTATGTTGATCTACATGTAATTTTACTTATAATTTCTAGTTGGCATTTGAATATATTTACAATATATTCATTAGCAATTTCCAAATGCACTATATTATTCTAATTTACACTAACATATAAGTGTAACACCATAACGTTATATACTTTCTAGATACCATAGATTCATCATTAATTGTAAAAAATTCACAATACTGAGTCCATATCATTTTTATTCCTTTTATATAAAAAGAGGCAAAGACATAAATGAATAATTTCATGGAGAAGGAAGAGAGGGTCACTCACCAAATTCTCAGTCAGTAACTTGGAATAGTCCCTTCATTTCACCTCTAAACCCTCTGCCAACACCAGCAATGGTAAATTTTTTCATTGAAATATACAGTGTATCCCCGTTCATGTTCCCCCATTAATAACTATGCTGTGTTCTCCACCATCCCGTCCTTTCCCCCACATTGTTTGGACATTCCTCTGGTGCTGACTGTACTTATTGCCAGCACTCTCATCTCTCATTTCCTCCATCTCTTAACCACATGCTTCCTCCAAATGCATTCTCAGGACGCTCTTCTCAAAAGGCTGTCCTAAACTTTTGGATGCAGTATCAGAACTCTAATGAGAGAATATGTTTGCAATGTGCTACTATCCTAAAGTAGATGAACTTAATCACTGCATCATGTATCACAGAGGCTCCACATTCTTTAAACAGCCATGCTATTAGAGAACTGCCTTGTAATTTATTTTAGTAAATCTGAAGTTAGCTGTGGCTTCCAACATTCACTTTTTCTAATGTGCCAAAGAGATTTGAGAGTGTCTACATCAAAGCTAAAGTGACTGCTCTGTTATCTGAGATGTGGGCATTGCCAGATGCTGGTCCTCCACAACTACACCCTCCCCAGAATCATTACATCCTTTAGAAAACACCCCCATTATCCTAACAGCAATCATTATATCATTGAAATGTGCCCTTCTACTAGTGGCTGGTCCTCTTCTCTCTATGGCATACACATATAAAGCCACCAGGACAATTCTTGGCCTTTCTTATCTGAACCAATAAAATAACCTTGTCTGATATTCCTAACTCTAGCTTTAATCCATAAAATTGAACCTTTAAAATCTAATCAATGAACATCTATGCTCAAGGCTTCATCAGTGCTAGGGTGTCTGTTTTCTGTGTCTGTGACTCCTAAACAATGACTTCCCTGACCTCACTTCCCATCTATTTTTAGCTCTATCTGTCCTATGACTCTACGCACACTCTTTTCCCAAAGGTCATCAAATAATCCCCTAATTTTCAAAGTTAAAGGGCTTGAAATGACCCACTTTACTATTCTTGTTTTATATTTCAATTACAAACTTCCTTTTTGGAAAGTCTCTTATTTATATACATGAAAATTCTTTTTAGCCTTTTTGTGAACATTTAAATCTATTCTAAGTTTCAGTTGAGATTTTTTATTCAATTATTTGTTTTATTTTCAATAGCATATTTGGTTTTTATTCACACTTCATTTACTGATTTTACTTATTGGTTTATTTATTTTTTTAAAGTATGTGCTTTCACTTAAATATTCCACTTTGAGGTAGCTTAAAAGAAAATGGCCTCTGAAGGGAGTGGCACTATTAGGAGGTATGACTTTGTTGGAGTGGGTGTGGCCTTGTTGGAAGAAGTGTGTCACTGTGGGGGGGGGTGGGCTTTGAGGTCTTCTATGCTTAAGCTACTCACAGTGTGACACTAAGTTAACTTCCTGTTGCCTGCAGCTCAAGATGTAGAACTCTCAGCCCCTTCTCCAGGACTATGTCTGCCCATGCCACCATGCCCCACCATGATAATGGACTAAACCTCTGAAACCAATTAAATGTTTTTATTTATAGAAGTTAGCTTGGTCATGGTGTCTCTTCATGGCAATAGAAACCCTAAGACAGAAGTTTGTAGCAGGGACTAGGGTATTGCTGTGATAGGCCTGACCATGTTATTGTTTAAAAATTTGGACTTTGGTACTGTGGGTTAGGAGAGTAGCAGTATACTTTAAGAACTGCTTAATGGGCCATCCTAGTAAGTCCATGAAATACACTGGTACCTAGAATGATTTGAATTGTGGGGGACTGACTCAAGAGGTTTTAGAGAATTTTAGTATCTTACCTAGAGATTGTTCTTGTGATATTTTGGTGAAGAATGTGGCTGGCTTATGCCCTTTTCAAAAAAGTCTGTCCAAGACTAAAATGAACAGTTTGGGATTAATTCCAGGGGAACTCTCAGAACAGCCTAGTATTGACTCTGTGGTATGGTATTGAGCAATCACTCTTATGAAGATTTGTAATGAAAAGGAGAAAGTTAAGAAAGTAAAAATACAAAATGTACAATTTGAGCAGAAAGGGAACACCAGAAACTAAACCCTGTCTTCAAGAAGCTAATCAAGTTAAAAAAATAAAAAAAAAAAAGGGGGGGGAGAGTAGTTACCTCAGGCAAGATCCCACCCAATTAAGTATCCAACTTGTGAAAAGGAATTAAAGAAAAGCCTAGAGCTGGGTGTGGTGGTGCACGCCTTTAATCTCAGCACTCCAGAGGTAGAAGCAGGTAGATCTCTGAGCTTGAGGCCAGCTCAATCTACAGATCTAGTTCCTGGAGAGCCAAGCTTAGGCAGTGAAGGAAACCGTGGAAAACAGAAAGCTGGAGAAGATGTAATTAAGCAAGGAGGCCATGTTCCAGTCCAAACAAGCAGTAGAACTTAGCAGTTTTAGCTGGCCACCTGGTTCTGGCTTTAGAGTCAAGGATTCAAAAAAAAAAAAAAAAAAAAAAAAAAAAAAAAAGGATAATGGAATTTCCCTCCATGACTAAAGAAAGCCACTGAGGCCAAGCATGAGTCTGAGGTGAATGGAGGCCTACAGATGCCATTACATGAAGCTGTGATGGTGCAGCTTGAATTGCCTTAGAGATCCCAAGATGTTGGAGATGACATAGCAGTGGGATCCCTGCTGTGAAGGAGAGTGGCTAACAAGGAATATAATCAGCCCAAGTAAGAAAAGTATGTTGCAGTCAGCAAACATGAAAGGAGTTGGAGATCTGAATTGCATTTTGACATCAGACATGGAGATGTAGACGTTGAAGTTTGCCCAGCTTGTTTTCAATCTTGCTTTAAACTTTAGACTTTTAAATTAGTTTGAGACTTTTATAGACTATGGGCACTTTTGAAGTTGGACTGAATACATTTTTGCATTATGATATCATTACAGGACTTTGGGGACCAGGAACTAGAATGTGGTGGTTTAAAAGAAATGGCACCCAAGACGGCAGCTTTTTTGGAGTAGGTGTGGCCTTGTTGGAGGTGAGTTTTGAGGTCCCATATGCTTAAACTACTCACAGTGAGGCACTCAATTCACTTCCTGCTGCCTGTCACTCAAGATGTAGAAATCTTAGCTCCTTGTCCAGCACCATGTCTGCCTATATGCTGCCATGTCTCACCATGATGATAATGGTCTAACACTCTGAAACTGTAAGCCACTCAAACTAAATGTTTTCCTTTACAAGAGTTATCATATTTGGGATATACCAAACCACAAAATTTACATTAATATTTTTAGAATACATCAAGTCAATAGGTAACAAAATGTTTAACACAAATAAAAAATGAGCTACATCTTTAAGGACATTAAAAACTGTTAAGGGAGTTGAGACATGTGCCAAATAGTAACAATGCATGCTGTACTGTGGCCATTTCAAAACTGTATGTTAAAGAAGTATCAGAATTGTTCTGGGGAAGAGTTGTACTCACTAAGGGCACTGGAACGAATTTCATGGGGTTAGTATCTGAGCAAGGACTTCAGAGAAGAACATAATGTGACTTTAGCAATATTTTTTTCTATACCTTAGTGAAGCCCAGTTTCACACAAAGGACTTCTCTAAAGAAATTAACAGAAATAAGTCTTTATTTAAAGTTATTTTAAATCTAATTAAGAAAGAAGAAAATCAATTGTTAAAGGTAGAAAGGAACAATGAATGGTAGAGATTTTTCTTAAATCCACCCTCAAAGAAAATCACAAAAATAGAGGAGCACTAACTCATCTCCAGGAAGTGGTCCAGCTAAAGATAAGCATCAGTATCAAACAACATAGATGTGAGTTCTGGGAAGACACCATTCAACAGAGAAACCAAGAAATCAGCAATGAATGAGTGAGCTGTTTATACTGAGTGATAATTCACAAGAGCTAAAGAAAAACAATGCAAGATGTGGCTAGATTAAGAGTCTAGACTATGGAAAGGGCAAAGGCCAGGTGAAGAGTTGAAGACATTCTTTAGGAATACCTTGTTTCTGACTAACCAGTAATACTAACTTACTAACTTATGGGTTTGTTTTTCTTTATAAGAAAAATCAGAGGTTTACTTCATTGACTACATTTTTAAATGAAAAAACAAATGTTGTTAATATCTAGCAACCAGTCTTGGAATTTGTTGTCAAATTTTTACAAACTCCCACTACTGTCTTAATTGCTATTCTAGTCATTTCTTGTTAGTTTATGCTTGTCCATAGTAGCTGTCCTTACCTCATCATGATCTACATCTTCACAGAAAATCAAGTATCAGTTTTCTGACATCAGGATCCAGCACCTCCCTATAGCTTGTAACCATAATCCTCAGCTACTAAGGAACTAGGTTGATTTCTATTTTTTTGTTTGGCACTTAGGTAACTTCATCTATCTTCCAGGAAAAAATATTCCTAAATATGAACTCATCCTCTACTTTGACCTCACTATATTTGACTACACAAAGCAAAATAAATGACCAGTTCAATTAAATAAATCAATGAACAGGAAAAGAAGAAATAAAATCTCCAAATTTCTTCAACAGAATGCTTTAAATTTATTGTTATTGTGCTATTACTCTTATAGAAGTGACCACCTTCTATTGTCTTCCCTGGCAACAGAAATCTATGGCAATCCTTTCGCTTATTTATCCAATTTCCTGAGGCAATGTCTGAGAAAGCAATGTCTGAGTCTGTGCTGCCTTTTGAGAACACCCTGACTTACATTACTGCACTACTTTGTGTCAGTACCTCACTGAAAATAAGTTTCTAAGAAATAATATTTTAGGGACTGGAGAGATGGCCAGTGGTTAATGGCAGCTGCAGAGAACCTGAGTTCAATTCCCAACATTGACATAGCAGCCCACAACCATCTATATAACTCTAATTCCAGAGGATCCAAAGCTCTCTCTGGCTTCCAGGGGCAAAAGGCATAGTACACAGATATACAGTCACAAAAAAAAAAAAAAAAAAAAAAAAAAAAAAAAACAAAAACACCATACTCATAAAAAAAATTTAAAGATAAAAGACATGTGTGAGAGAGATGTTTTATATACTGAGATCCACAATAGCAATACCTTAATGAGCATCTGCCATTACTAAACAGCAGTGAAGTATACTCAGTGCTTGAAAGTAATAAAAATTACAGCATCAGGAATCAGGGAAGTTTGCAGGAATAGACATGAGTGACAAGAAATGTAGAAGACCTATTCTACCATCTTGCTAAATCCTAATACCACAAAAAAAAAAAAAAAAAAAAAAAAAACTACACTACAAAATAAATAAATAAAAAATAAAAATACCCTTCAAGCTACCTGATAATGCATATAAGGGTTTGAATTGCTAGAATCTAAACAGGATGTCTTAGAACCAGTTCACTGTCCACTGTCAGGCAGTGAGACCTCTTCCTGCAGCACCTTCAAAGTCAGCCTCTGTGGCCCTGGCCTTCCAACCACACCTTCCATTTCAGAGGCACCTGGCACTTCAGTTATACTCAGCAGCCAATCAGCATCAGAATCTTCTTCCCATGTCTTCCTTCAAACTCCCTTCCCATCTCTGTTGCCATCACTGAATAGGCTTCTCCTACCACAATATTGGCTCTCCATCTTAGAAGATGCTGCTATCTCACTGATAAATTTCAGAATGGGATATTCTTCCCAGCTTCATTCAAGGCAGTTCTGTCTTATCATATTCCAGAACCACACACTTTCCTTAAGACATACATGACAATATTCTGTTCCTTACATAGTGCTCTTTCCTTTTATTACTCCTTTATTGGTTTAAAAGTACTGTGTTTACTCCTTAGATATATTTAATACTTCTTGGATATTTCATATTGAAGAAATATGCTTCTTGATTTCCCCAGCAATCCCCATACTCAAGTCAGCCTTCTCCAAAAAATTGCTCAAAAGGAAAATACAGTATTTTCCCAAATCTACTCTGGCTAACTGTGTTATATTTTCTATCTAATTGATTCACGGTATAATTTCCAGTCACATCGACTTCTCAATGCTTATTTATACTGTGTTTATTGTAATCTTGAGGTTTGGAGGTTTTAATAGTTTTGAGAGTCACCTATTCTTTAAACAGGGAATGTTTGCAGATGCCCACAACAAAAGATAATGAAAATGGCACCTACCTGTCCATGCTTTTGCTTAGGGGTCATCCCATGAGGAATTTCCAGATGTGATGAGGCCTTGAAATCAACCTCACGTACTTTGGGACGAACCACATCAGAAGCCAGACTGGAAGAAATAGCCAGAGACTTGGGCCTGGTAGCTATGTTGCCTGTTCCCCCTGGGGGTCCTTGTTCACTTTGTCTGCTTGTAGCTTCATCTTCACCATCGGAATCCACAACAAAAACATATTCTGCTTTGAAGAGGTCACCTTTCTGCATTCCTTCTGGTTCGTTCCTATCAAATTTCGGTCCTTGTGAATTCCTTCCACTGAACAATGAGGGATAAGCCAGTATCCTCTGGTCTCTCTCCTGTTTGCTCTCACAGCTGAAGGTCATATGGTCACTGTACTCAAACTGCAACAAATGTAGGAAGATAAAAATGTTGACAAGGGGTGACAGATGCATCTTTTTGTTAAACTTTGCTAAAAAGTTTAACCCACTCATTGAAAGGTTTTTAATGCATTACAATACCAGGCTTGCCTGAGAGAAATGATCTGAAACACATGCTTCCTCTTACTAGCTCATTTGTTTGTACCTCCCCAGCTCCAAAAGACTTAGAGTTCAGACTTAACATCAACAAGTAAAGTTTACTGCTTCCCAATAAATCATGAGGAAGGGAGAGAGAAAAGGAATCAGGGAAGACAGAGCAAGAAGGGTGATCAATGAAGATATTCACAAAGCAGCTGTCATGTGGATTGGACAAGGTTTTAGTAAACTATCACACAACCAGCACATCCTTTACTAACAATGATGTTGGGGGGGGGTCCCATAAAAAATACCAAAATAAAATAAATTTCCAAACTTTTGAAAGGAAAGGTAACACTAATACCAAGTACATCAATTGTCAGATGAAAAATGTAAGCTAATTGGAAGGACCTTATGAATGGGACATTTTTTTTTAAGATACAGGGACTATAGAGATGTGTGAGTGAATAAAACAATTACTATAGGAGTATGAATATTTGATTTCAGATCTCTATCACCCAAAAAGAAAACCTAAGTGATGCACACATATGTATAACACCATCACTGTGGATACAGAGCTTGCTAAGCAGCCAGTCGGCCATTCTAGCCAAAATGGTGAGCTCCAGGTTCAGTTGAGAGACTCTGTCTCAAAAGATGTGGTAGAAAAGCAACTGAGGAACACACTATAGGACATCTCTGCCCTAGACTCATTCTGACATTGACAAGATGTACATGCCCATGTATAAAGATACAGACAAACGTAATGTAAAGTGTGGGGGTTTTATTTCAGTACATTATTTCATTTTGAGCTGTCACTTTGAACTGGGAATTTTCAGTTTTTCTATACAGTTTTCTATGAATAGTCAGAATTTTTACAAGATCCAAATTATTATAGTTTTATCAAGCTATCAAATTTCTTTTTCTATCATAACAGCCATTGACAGACAGTGCCTATAAAACCCAACACCTATTCCTTATTTTAATTACCATTCTGTGATTGTTCTTTTTAAACCACTTTCCTATAATGTTCAAATTAGTTCAGAAGAAAAAAAGTAAGTCACTAAATACTAACAAGTTCAACGATGGCGGTCAATTTAACATCCGCTAAAATGTATGTGTTACATGAATAGAGACAGAAGTCAAAAACTGAGTAAGTACAACTGAATTGAAGAGGCAATTCATAATCCCAGCCCACCGTGTTTGGCTGCTCCTGATACTGTTGCAGTCTAAATGACACAGGTGAAACTTGTCATATGTGGCTTTCTGTGTCTTCCTCCATTTTGTGTTTGTTTGTTTGTTTGTTTACTCTGAGGTAGCTTATTTCACAACATTTACCACTACCTTGGGTTTCACCATACACTCTTCTTATCTTTACTTTCATTGTCCTGTGAGTTGTTATTATCCTCTTGAAATGTATTACTAGCATGATCTTCTATGCATGTCACCTGAAATCATTATTGCTTTCTTCATGTATAAAATGAGGTGAGAATATCAATATCAATTTTGAGATGGAATGATGATTCAGCCATTAAAGGACAGGCTCACAAGCAAACAAGCAAGATAATGTCAACTTTCTTTAAGATGATTAAAGGAGATTATACACTCTACGCATGGACACACTCAATGGAGACAGAGAGAACTTGGAAGCATGGCACTGTTTGGCTGTGGTAAGCTCTTGACACTTGACGATTTAAGAAGGTTGGGATGGCAATATGTTTGAGGACACATAATAAGAGACATAAGACTTTATACATTTGTTCTGATATATATATATATATATATATATAATACATATATATATGCATATGCAAACGCATGGCAATCCTGGAGCTCAGGCTAAACTCATGCTCCACTATAGAGCTAAACCTTCAGCTCTCAGAAGCATATTTTAAGCATCCTTAGAGTTCACATCATATTATTTTAAACAGAGGAAATACACATTGATACAAATTTCCAAGTCATTATTATAGATAATTTTAGGTTGTCATTCAAAATTTCAAAAGAAGAAAAACAATCCTACCCTATTAACACTTTCTGGGCTCTTATCACTTGGTTCCTCTGGAATTTTAACAAGGAATTTGGAAGTGTCAGCCAACTGAATATGGGTTGGTAGTCTTCTGACAGTAGGGACAAATGTGAAGATCAGAGGTTTGGCTTCAGAATCTCCAGGAGAGACCTATGAGATATGTAAGAAATTAGACTTTCAGCCTTGCCAAAGGTTCCTAGCTTTATTTTTCATGTTCCATATTTGTCTGGTTCACTTTAATAAGCTGCCTGCTGTCCTGTACTGATGCCAATAAAATATACATAAAAATACTCATAGTGCATGAGAACCCCCTTTAAGACTCCATAATAAGGAAAGCATTTTGCCCCCCACCCCTGGGCACAGCACACAGCAGCAACCTGGAAAGCTATTCTGAGTCCCTACTATGTACAGAGATGCCATTCTAAACACACAAACTAATCTACTTCAAATGTGTCATCTATTCATGTAGCACTAAGGTAATAGACTCGGATTATTGACTTACAACCAAGAAACATGCAAGAAAATTCAAATATGCATCATATTCATGCTAAAGTATGGGCTTAAAAAGTGAAAGATGCCTATCAGAATATCAGCTTCTGCTCTAAAGGATGTGCCTTCTGGTTCATTTGTATTTAATTGATTTAAAAGTAACTTCACGAAGTGCTTGTTTTGTGTCCCCAGAAAGAAAGGCTATAATAGTGAATAGGAAACAGTCACCAGACAACTCACAAATAGAAAAGGATATGCACACAGTGTGAAGGGACCTGTGTTTCCAGATTCCTGAATCCCACACCTATCCCCACACCTCGATCCCTTCTGCCCCATGCTCTTCACTCCTTCTCTGATGTTTCTGCTACAGTTGGCCCCCACTTGGGCACACTGCCTTGTTATTTCCTTATTCAACAAAGTTTCATCAACTTCAGGGACTGGTAATTTAACAATGAAGGTAAATACCTACTGTCGTGAATTTACCCAGTGGAGGGAGGCAAACAGTAATAAATAAATGTGCAAAACGTATAGTAGTTTCACAAGTGCTATGAAGACTTTGTACCAGGCTTCATAGAATACCATGAACAAGAAAACAGTGGAACAAACTTGGGTTCATTCTGATGGTAATAATGATAAGATGTGTTAAATTCTAGTTATCTTTTTTTTTAAGGAAAATATGTAAATGGAGGTGAAGGACAGGAGATAGCAAAGATTTAAAATGAGTGTAAAATTTTTTATCTGAGTAACTATAAGAAATGAGGATCTAGTCATTAAAACAACTCAATAGTTGAGGATAGAGTTCAAAAATCAAAGAAGTTGAAAGATGCCTCCTCAGTAGTTAAGAAAACATACAACTTTTGAGAGAGGATCTGAACTAGAACCTCCAGCTCAAAATCACCTAGAACTCCAGCTCCAGGGGAACCAACATCCTCATCTAGACTCTAAGGTACCAATGCTCATACTTGCACAGACCACACAGGCATATGTGTGTGTGTGTGTGTGTGTGTGTGTGTGTGTGTGTGTGTGTGTGTGACATTTTTTAATTCAAGATTTGGTAGGGAAATTGAAAGATGCTTGAGAATGCCAGGAAGGAGTCACTCCATCATAATTTGGGGAGGCTGGCAATCTAACCATCCTAGAGGAAAACCATGCCCCCTTGCCTTCTGTGAAACCATTGTTTGTGTGAGCAGGATGGTCTCATTTTCAATAGAAAGGCAGGTTCCATGTGAGTCCCTGCCATGCATCAATTCTGACAGAGAAACTCTCTAAGCATTGAGTCTTCAGTGTTAACTATGCATGTGCTCAATTTTGGTCAGTTTTAAAATCTATATTTTACTCTAAAAAAGTAAGTAAGAGGTGTCCCCCCCCCCAAAAAAAAAAACCATACACACGCACACAATAATACAGAAATTCTGACAGACTATGAAGTCTGGGCATTGACCTTAAGAAGATGACCTGAGAAAAAGGGCACAATGATAGTGGGTGACTTCATACCCCATTCCTACCAGTAAACAGGTTTCTATATTTTATTTTCATCTTCCTTCCTTTCTTTTCTTTAAGACAAAGTTTATGAAGTTACATGGGTCAGAAGGGGGATTATCTGAAAGAAGTTTGAAAGGACAAATAATATGAACAAAATAAACATTTAAAATTATTTGTGATTAGCCTGTAAGATAGCCAGGTCAGATTCACAAGCATTAGCTCATCATCAGAAAGTAATAAGTCACTTTATCTCTATTGGGAAGAAATGTTAGAGCCCTTATAAGGCTAGGAAAGTCTTAGGCTAATCAATAACACTTAATGCTACAGACTTTCTAGATTATCCTAGGGAGATTTGCTTACATGTCTAATCTTAAACAATGACTTTCTGGGACGGAGAGTGATTGTGAGAGGGACCCCTGAGGATACTTGGCGGTTGAGCTTCACTGTCAATTGGATGGGATTTTTGAAATCCCTTAGGAGATGCAAGGACTGGTGTGGCGAGGAGACTACCTCTGGAAAGGCTTAACTGACAGGAGACAATGTGCCTGAATATGGGCATCACCAGCCAATGCATCAGAGTTCCAAACAGAAAAGAAAGATAAGAGAAGCCAGATCAGTAGCAGCATCCATCTCTTCCTGCTTCCTGCAGTAGCTACAGTAATTCAAATAATCATCAAATAATCATCCTACCTTGTTGTATTTATACCTGCCCTCATTTTCTCACAAAATGACTTAGCCTAACTGAAGTCTATCCAAAAGAAAATAAATAGCTCTATATGAAGACTTCAGTATGAATACCTGGGGTTACAAAACCCACAGACACTTAATAAACAATAAGTAACTATACTTTCTAAAGCATATACAGTGATCAAAACTTACTTCTCCAAAGGCCTTGCTTACACAATTGTCCAGTTAAACTTGTCTTACGTCTTTATAGCACAGAATTCTAAATGTAATACTTCACAACCTGTAGACTTTTTAAAAGTTAGAAGCTATAGTTTTAGAGAATAAAACAAGAACCAAGTATAAAGTGAAACTAGCACATGAATGAAGATGGGCTTGTATCAGAGTAGCACAGAGGCTTTCTAAACAAGACTTCATGATTAAGGAGGGGGGGGCAACTGAACAGAAGCAAGATGGTTGACTTCAATTTTATCATTATATTCTCCCCCACAGAAACCTCTGAACCCTAAGTAAAATTCTTTCAGCAACGTAGGAAGACAATTCCACTTCCTTATTTTAGCTGAACAAATATATATGTCATAGATAGATAGATAGATAGATAGATAGATAGATAGATAGATAGGCAGGTTTATATATGATTAAAGGCTTATCTTCCTGAGTTACTACTGAATAGAACTAAATTCAGAGATTAACTCCTGTCCATATAACATTCTCAGAACATCAGGAAAGGGCAACCCTTTGCTATTTACTTTCAAGAAAGTACAGCAAAATTAGCGCAGAGCTCTTTTCACCATCTTTCCTTATCACCTGTATCTTACCAGACATCTAAGGTTCACTTGAAAAGACACTGCTGAATCCCTTGTTCAGTTGAGGAAAAAAGCCATTTACCATCTACTGCATACTGTGTGGCAGATCCAACAGAGCCCCAAAATGAATCGCTATGGCGACAAAAAAAATCATTTTTCCAACAAAGCAGAAGCAGATGCAAGTTAATGGCATTCACTTCTTAATTGCCAATTAACGCTTTCAGCTGCCAATGCCATTTAAACATCTGATGACTGAGAAACTATTTTAGTAATAGAAATAAGAACTAAGTGAATTAAAATAGTATTCTAGATTTGGCTTGAAATACCTGACCCCCTTCTCACCACACAGGCTAGTAATGTGAGAAATGGTTTTCACCCCTGTCTTACAGGCTGTATGCTCCTTTGCTTGGCTTCAAGCTTTGTGCATTTGTTTCTCCTATTTCCCTAAAAGTTCTGTCCCCCCTCCCACTCCCCATATTGGCACCAGCAGTACAGAGGGCCACTAGCCTCTTACTAAGATAAGGCATCACAAGCATTCTTAGCATTAAGTCTATGCCAAGCGCATCCTCAGCATTTTCCTTTGCCCAATGAGCAGTTCTGTCTTTATCGTTTGCCCGTTTCTCTAACTAGATAACATCTCATTTCGATACACAGACAGATTTATCGGCACCCGGGTAGATTACCCTCACACCCTCTGGCATATACTAGGAAGACAGTATCTTTAAAAGTTACCGAAATCGTTAAGCAAAGGCTTCCTTTTACCTTGGGTGTGGTCTCAATGCTCCCCGCTAAGATGCAGGAGGTCATTTGGAAGTAATTGTTCCCGCAGTTACTCAGAAGCCCCTGTTCTGGAAGCATTGATTCATCACATAAGGGAGTGAGCAAACCAATGACTAAGGTGGGAAGAGAGCCTGTTACTAAAACAACACAGGCACACAGGCACGCACGCGCGCATACACACACACACACACACACACACATGCACCCATACGAATATGCACACGCTCCACACATGTACCCACATGCATATGCATGAGCACACACACACACATACACAGTTTGGGGGTGGAATCTAAAAGAAGACAAAGCAGATTCTTCACTGAGTTGGATATTTTTCATCTCCAAGGGATTTGTTTTGACAATTTTTACATTTGGAACTTCACAAGAGGTCACACTGACAGCTAAAATGGGATCAGTGGAAGTGAAAAATTGCCACCTATATGTGTTTGCCCTCTTTTCCTTTCATGCATGCAGTCCAATCATGCATTCTGTGAAAGAAAGGGGAGAAGCCAGATTGTACAGCAATGAGACACTGATTGAAGGGCCCTGGCATCTGCCAGTCTCCGTGATCAGTTGGCCACACTTGCAGAGAACATTCAGAGGTACAAACACATGCAAACACAGTGTCTAAATAAAGAACTGGAAAACACAGTGATCATTTCAATGACGAGTCCTTAGTATGTGACCAGCAGCCAATGATACAGGAGCATCCGAGTGACTCAATTTTTGCTGTTAAACAAAAGTAGCTCTAAAATAGAGCTTGTTACCAAACAGTTCTCAAAACAAAATTCCCCTCCACTGTTTCTGGAAGACAGTGACTTCCCTGACTACTGATAAATGACTCGCAAATGCTTCTCATGCGATTGATTGTAGTCATCAGCTTAGAGTATTTCTATTTTTTAAGCATTG